GGGGGGTGGGATGAGCTGAGGGTGCTGGGAGGAGCTCTGGGTGACCCGCTCCTGGCGCTGTACCTGGTGTGGGTGACGATGTCGGTCAAGGCGCCGCCTTCCAGGAACTCCATCACCACCCAGAGCTCGTCACCCACCAAGTAGCTGTTGTACATCTCCACCACGTTCTCGTGCTGGTAGTCCCTCATGATCACCACCTGCAGAGGGAGCCCCAAAACCACCCAAATGGGAGGGGCTGAGGGCACCCTTGGGTGCTCTTGGGTTCCTGATGCAGCCTTGGGTGCTCATGCAAACCCTCAGGTGCTCTTGGGTGTTTAAGTGCACCCTTGGGTGTTCAAACCCACCCTTTGGTGTTCAAATCCACCCCCAAGTGCTCCTGGGTTCCCAAATGCACCCTTAGGTGCTCGTGGGTATCTAAGTGCCCCGTTGGGTGCCCAAACCCAGCCTTGGGTGCTCCTGGGTGTCTAAGTGCAACCTTGGGTGCCCAAACCCAGCCTCAGGTGTTCCTGGCTTCTTGAATGCACTTTTAGGTGCTCCTTGCTGTCTAAGTGCACCCTTGGGTGCCAAACCCAGCCTTTGGTTGCTCCTGGCTTCCCAAATGCACCTTTAGGTGCTCCTTGCTGTCTAAGTGCCCCGTTGGGTGCCCAAACCCAGCCTTTGGGTGCTCATTTGAACCCTTGGATGCTCCTGGCTTCCTGAACACAGTCTTGGGGGCTCCTGGGTGTCTAAGTGCACCCTTGGGTGCCCAAACCCAGCCTTGGGTGCTCCTGGCTGTCTAAGTGCCCCGTTGGGTGCCCAAACCCAGCCTTTGGGTGCTCATATAAACCCTTGGATGCTCCTGGCTTCCTGAACACAGTCTTGGGTGCTCCTGGGTGTCTAAGTGCACCCTTGGGTGCCCAAACCCAGCCTTTGGGTGCTCCTGGGTGTTTAAATGCCCTGTTGGGTGCCCAAACCCAACCTTTGGGTGCTCATTTGAACCCTTGGATGCTCCTGGCTTTCTGAACACCGTCTTGGGGGCCCCTCGGTGT